TGCAGATCAGTTTTATCAAGATTTCATGAATTTAGTACTCTGGTTCAAAACAACAACCTTGATATTGTTGGAATATCGGAAACGTGGCTATCACAAGATATATCTAATGACCATATAAGAATGAATGGATACAACTGCTATCGCTGTGATAGAAATGAGCGAGGTGGTGAGGTTGCCGTCTTTGTAAACAACCACTACAGCTCTTCCATAACATGATGTGGGCAAGGCCCAAGTCTTGAATATACAGGGTGGCGCATCGAAAACGAAACAGACGCATTTACTGGCAGCAAAGTTTTTTTTTAAAAAACGCCCCGTCGATTTTGTTTTCGAGGGGGACACAGGTTTGGCAAAAAATCACGTTAGCACGTGCAGCCCCCTAAGCGGGGGTGACACCACCCTCAAAATCTTAAATGGAACGGGGGGTCGCGTGACACCTTATTTTAAAGGTCTCTCAATTCCCTTTATATGATATAAAATTAATGTACTTCAGTTCAGTAGTTTTTAAGATTTGTTGATTTAAAGCTTAAATAAAACAAATACATCATCATTAGTGGAGATCAATACATTTGGCAGCAAAGGAATTTAAAAATGAAGAATGAACTGACCCGTTAGGCAAGTGAATGTTGAAAATGGCCACCATGACTCTCCATGCAATAATAAAGATTTTACTCAAAACGTTGCCGCACATTTTGTAATATAAGAGGAGTAATTTGAAGGCATCCATTCACAATTCTTTGTCGCAGGTCTTCTAATGATGTGGGCTGAGTAGCATAGATTTTGCTTGTTAAATGACCCCACATAAATAAATACAAAGGTGATAAATCTGGCGATCTTGGGTGCCATTCAATGGCACCTCTTCTACCAATCCATCGATCTGGAAACGTCTGATCTAAATATTGTCGAATACGTAATGCGTAATGTGGTGGGGCACCATCCTGTCGGAACATCAACCTATTCGCAATGTACCGCCGATCATTCTGATTTTCAATTATGGCTGTTAATGCAGGATATATGGCGTCTTCCAGTAATTCCAAATACATTCCACCGTTCAAATAGCCAGGTAAGAAAAAAGGACCAACTAAATGATCGCCAAAAATACCAGCCCAAACATTTAATTTTTGTGGCTGCTGTGTATGAACCCCATGATAAATTCTGGGATTAGAATCGGACTAATATCGGCAGTTATGACGATTTACTACACCATTTAAGAAAAATGAACATTCGTTGGAAAAGCAAGTGTTGAATAGAAAATGTTCATCGTTTATAATTCGTTCACTCATATCTTCACAAAATTGTAATCGCCGATCAAAATCGTCTTCATTAAGTTCTTGTACCAGGTGAATTTTATACAGATGAAAACTATGGGCCTTTAGAATCCGTTGGACAGTACGTCGACTAACACCACACACAGTCTCCAATTTGCGGGTACTTAACGTAGGATCTATATAAACTTGCCCTAAAGCCCCCACTTCTATTGCTTCGTTCCTTAAGGGATTTTCAATGTTGCGTTTTTATTGGCGACTGACCCAGTTTCCCGAAAAGTTCTAGAACATATTTTCGATACACGTTACTGTTGTCATGTCGCTCATTAAATATTTCCGTTGTTCTATTAGCACACTGATTATTTCCGAAAAATATTTCGATAATTTCAACTCTTTCTGCTGTGGAATATACCATGGTTAATTTATGTAATAAAGCTTTACAAGTTATTTTAGCAACAAAGTTTGGTCAAATCAATCGCAAACTATGTACGTATAGTACATTCCTATTTAAAATAAGCACGAGATATTTCCTTATCTTTCTTCAAGAAATAACTTTTTTGCCACAAAACACGCTCCAATAGCTATTTTCAATAACAAAATGATAAACAAACCATAGGCGTAGTGAAGAAAAGCGTTTATTTATTAAATAAATTCTTTTAGTCAAATTTCTTCTGAAAGTAGTACATGTACCTACTAATGTCTACTTTAAGCTTTAAATCAATAAATCTTCAAAACTACTGAACTGAAGCTCATGTATTTTACATCATTATAAAGGGAATTGAAAGACCTTTGAAATGAGGTGTCACTCGACCCCCCCGTTTCAATTTAAGATTTTAGGGTTGGTGTCACCACGCCCAGGGGGCTGCACGTGTTAACGTGATTTCTTGCCAAACTTGTGTCCCCCTCGAAAACAAAATCGACGTGTCTGAGCATTTTTCCAAAAAAAAAACTGAGGTGCCAGTAAATGCGTCTGTTTCGTTTTCAATGCGCCACCCTGTATATGGTTGAAGGTGGAACTTCCTAAACCAAAAATTGCTATTGGTATATTCTATCGACCCCCATATAGCTCTGTTACAGAAACCGGTAATACCTTTGATGACATGTTGCCTGCCATATTAGCTGAATATGATGATATCATCCTTGCAGGGGATATTAACGTTAATTTGCTTTTACTTTGTAACAACTTCACTAAATGCCTTGATTCTTATAATCTGAAACAGGTGATATCTGAACCGACTAGGATAACTGAATCGACACTCACTCTCTTAGATCCTATTTATTTGAGTTGAGCTTGAAAGTTGTCTTAGGAGTCGCACTATTATTGCTGATATGATTACTGATCACTATTTAACCTTCTGTGATATACGTAATTACACTTACTAAAAATCAACAGAAATCTGTGACATTCAGGGATTTCCATTGTTTAAATGAAATAGCGTTTGAACATCATCTCAAGAGTTTTCCATGGTGGCATATTATATCGATAGATGACATTGAAGATAAAATTAACTTTTTAACAGACGGTATTTTATGTTTATTTAATGTTCACTGTCCAAAAAAGGTAGTGCGTGTAAACAAAGCTCCAGCTCCTTGGTTGGATGATAATATTAAACTTGTATTCAAGCAGAGAGCTGAAGCTTTGTCAAAGTTCAAACGTGATCGTACAGCCGCCTCTTGGCAACAGTATACGTATTACAGAAATCGTGCATTAACGCTCGTGCGGAGAGGAAACAAAGATTATTATTTTTTATATTTTAAAATCAGGATATAAAAAAGTTTTATGACATCCTAAAGACTTTCAAAGTGCAATCTCCTACAATTCCCGTGAGCTTATCAGTTCCGTATAAAATAAATGAGGCATTCATTTCAATTTTCGAGAATAGTGATTTGGGTTGTGCTGATAAAATTGCATTTTACCGAGCTAATAAAAATAACTCTAAATCCAAATTTCAATTTAATAAAGTGATTGATACCGTTGTTAAAATTATACATAAAATAAAATCAAATTCTAGTGGTTCAAATGGAATAACTTTGCATATGATACTACTATGTATACCTAAGATTGATGTGTACTTAAAACATATTAACAACTGCTGTTTAGAGAGGGGATATTTCTCCAATCAGTGGAAACGCGCTATAGTTGGTCCGCTACCTTGGTGTTCTGATTCTACTAGCTATGGTCAACTGAGACCGATCATGCTACCAATTTTTTCTAAAGTATTGGAACGCGTTGTTTACGAGCAGCTCTGTGCCTACCTATATTTTAACAAAATTATTCCATCTAAACAATCTGGATTTCGACAAGGTCGTAATACATCTTCGGCGCTCTGTGATTTAACAGACAATATAACAATGGCACTTGATAACCAAAAAGCAGTAGCTCTCATACTTCTTGACTTTACTAAAGCATTTGTCACCGTTAATCACTCACTTCTTGTGTCTAAAAGCAGTTATTATGGATTTTCTGAAAAACCTCTTTCGTTTATTCAAACCTACCTTGTAAATGGGTATCTAAAGGTTCGTCTAAATCAACAGTATTCTACCGAACAAAAAATTTGTTCTGGTGTACCACAGAGATCATTCTTAAGACCCTTATTATTTTCATCATATATCTCAGATTTAGAAACAGAGGTAAGCAATTTTTTGCAGACGATACTCAAATTTTCTATTCATTTAGGAGTAATGACTTGGAAACAGAAAATAATAAAATCAATCAAGATCTTTCCCAAATTGAAAAGTTCAGTAGTAGTCATAATCTTCGTTTGAACCCTTGAAGATAAATATATATACGCAAATAGAACAAAAAGAATACTTTAAAAAAGGACATAGACATACATTTAAAAGGTAATAAACTAGTTCCTGTGGATCCTTCGAAGAACCTAGATATTATAATGGATGATGACTTAAAATGTTGTACACGTAAACTATCTAATTTTTCAGTGCTACACTATTTTATTTGCAAATAAGGCAATATTACATAAATCTGCGAGAAAGCAATTGTGTGAATCTTTCTTGTTTTCAAAGACATCATATTGCTTAGTGGTTTAATGTCCCTATTTAGATATTATAACAAGAAATCGTATTCAAATTATTATGAATACAGGTTGCAGACTTGTAAATGGTCTCAGAAAGTATGATTATATATCGAATGCCATTAATAAACTGAAATGGATGAAAATGGATAAAATGTATAAGTCCCAGCTCCTGAATCTGACTCATAAGGTTCTTTATTCAAAAACACCGTCATATTTAGTAAAGAAATTCATACGTAGAGGGAATATGCATGGCAATAACATTAGATATAGAGAGACTTTTTCAATTCCACGCCACAGCACATCTCTATTTCAGCATATATATATTTACAATTCGATAAAATCATAATAATTTTTTAGACAGCAGTTTAAAAGAAACTAATCCATTACCCAAATTCAAGAAAAAATTGAAAGAAGTTCTACTTGATCAGCAGCGAAATCTTTACTTAGATTATAGCCTATTCTGTCGTTATTGTATACATGTATTAATTTTCAACAAATTCTTTTTTTTTAAATCTCGTATTGTTAAGGCGGTTAGATGGTAGAATAGATACATTATCTAAATCTCGCCTCCTGTACGAATATTACAAATAAAAGACGTTAATTATTATTAATATTATTATTATTACTTTATCCAGCAATTAAAGCATTTGGAAAAATGTGAACGGGCGGTTTCAAAAATGACGGATTTCATATTTTATTACAGCAGCCGCCTGGGCGGACCCATGGCTTTGGGTCTGGCCCATCAGTTGTCCGCCACCCGGCTTCTATCTTCCCCGGATGTCAGTAGATGCCGTATGGACGATGAAATTTGGCCCCCCTGGTCAGACTCCTGTAGCAGCTTGCATCGCGAGGCGTACGCCGAAGTTAGGGGGGTCATGGGGTCACCTCCCCCCCGGAGGGATACGCTTGCCTGTGGGGGTTGTTTCAGAGCGTGTAGGGCCAGGATACATCAAAGCATTGCCAAGCGGAAGGTAAACAGTTTTGCTTAAAAGGATTCTTTAGGATGTTTTTATAATACCAGACTTTTTGTAAATACCAAATTTTGGATAAAAATGTGGGGCGAGGAATTAAAGTGACACCAGATTTGAAGCCAATGCTCCATTCTCATTCAGATTATAGAGCTACGATACTGTTTTGTTGTGATTCCTACAGAAACGTATTAGAAAATGATATTAAGCTCAAACTATGGGACAATATAATATCACTTAGGGATTCCGTGAAGGATTTCGGCTTAGTGGTTGACTCTAAACTAAAGTTTAGAGAACACATTACTCTGTGATTAAGACAAGCATATTCAATGTTAAAAATAAGTTACCCCATAGACATTACCTATCACAAAATACTAAAGCCACGCTCTGCGAGGCTTTAGTGTTATACCACTTCAACTTTGCTGATATGGTATATGGCCCATTTCTCGATAGTGTGGAACTAAAACGGGTTCAAAAAGCTCAGAATTCTTGTCTGACACTGATATTTGGCATAAGGGGTAGACAAAGAGTATCCCACAAACTACCTGAACTGGGATGGTTGAACATGGCTCAGAGGCGTACCTTGCACTCTACTTCCTTCTTTTACACGAATATAAAATATAAAAATCCCCCTTATCTTCACTTAAAAATTAGTTACCGGACTGATCTACATAATCTAAACATTAGAAGATTTAATTCGATTACAATACCATGACACAATAAAGAATCATTTAAGAAATCATTCTCATATGAAATTGCTTCTTTGGTAAATAAATTCAAAATTAAATATTTTTCTCTTTCGGTAGCTACATTTAAGAGGAACCTTAAAAGTGATTTACTGTCTCAGGTATCATAAAAAACATATCTTCTGCTCCCCTTTTCTCCTCTTCTCTTTGCCCTATTCACGCTTTCTCTTTCTCACTCTAAATCTCCATCTCTCTACTTATTATACTTCGCTATATTTCTTAATATCAGAACTTTATTAATTATCAATGTTTGGATAGTCATTTGCACTATTATAGAATTGCTTAAATTTGTTCTTTTTTTTGCTCTAGTAGCTGCTTCTTTAAGGGGCAAGCTGATGTAGCCCTTTATTCTCTTAAGGCTTTTGGTTTGTAAACTTTTATATACTGTTTAATGAGGGTAATAAATAGTATTATTATTATTTGAAAATGTTGTCATTATACGCTAGGTATTTTTAAAGAAATAGTTTCATTTCTAACTCGCAAGCTCTGACGTCAAACTGTCGATGAGGTCGGATTCGGAATCTACGTTCCCAAGAGACTAGAAAACAAGTGACTTAAACAACTAGAAGCAAAGTTATTTGCTGAGTACATGCATTCTGACTCTCACTTCTATAAACTTAAGTTCAAAATATCTGTTCCGTGGATTTATTCCTGTTTTTTATCAGATAGATCAAGGGTTGCGGTTATATAATCAGCACAAGCAGCAACAAGCTGTAAGGAAATGGAAATCTGCCTTAAAAGCTATAAGGAAAAGAGAAGATAAGTTTGGTTTACTAGGGTACCTTTATCAAGCGTATATGGATTGGGGTAAATACAGGTAAAGTTACTTTTTTGAAATATTTATTTTAATAATTAATAGTTATGATGACTACTTCATACCAAAATTTATTTTGTTATTGTGTTTCAAAGAGCTACATATTACGAGAAAGTTCGGTTTTGATTGATATTTTTTTCTGGATTTTTTTAGGGACGCTTTGGAATACGCTCATCGACAACTTTGCATATCCGAAGAACTAAATAGCTCAAACTTACGGGCAGAATCCGATTTAAATATAGCTAGGGCTCATCAAAGACTTGGAGCGTTAGAAAGGTAATAGTCTAATCCACCAACTTTACTATTTTAAGACTTGTCGTCTTTCCAAGAACGTTAAGATTTTGATGCAATTGTTATACAAGATAAACAAGGTTAAGATGAAACATTTTCAGACTGGTACAAATATGGCGCTAAAATTATTCCTTCATGAATGTACACGTCACTGAAATAGGACACCTCAAAGTGTCATACATTCTCAGAATCGATTCCTGCGAGAGTAAATCAGCAGTCTTTCTGTTGGAACTGTACCCCAGTTCGCATTTCACAGCCAGGTCATCACTGGGGCCGCAAGATGCCGCCGTTTCTGGTGGTATCGCAGATATGGTCCACTCGACAGTCAATGGCCAAGCCTATACTACGCTCATGAGTTGAGAAAAATCACGAAATAGTTGTCTCCAACAACCAAAGCTTTATTGCTAGTTTTAATTATCATGGGTTCCAACTTGCTCTCTCAAGTAGTTTGTCTACACCAATTTTTGAAGTGAATATCTTGAATGGTTAATATGGGCATGCCTGACTATCGTGCTGGATGGATTAACTCCTAGGAAAATCCCTCTGAAGTCAACAAAAGATTACGGGGACTGTGCTCTGTGGAATCACACTGTATACATTTTGTTATTATAAGCTGTTAGCAGCCGTTAGGTACTGTAAGTAACATGGGTAACCAGAAATTCTGCGGTAAGTAGAGCAAATACCTCGCAATGCCTAGCAACAAGGAATACAAATGATAAAGTTAACAATAAACGAATTAAGGCGTTCCACTATGGGAGTAAAAACCAACAAGATTACAAATGCATTACAAGCCGGGGGTACAGCGCCAAAAGAGTCGATTGCATTTCCCGGATGCTAGTATGTTTTGGGATGCGGAAGGAAATCTCTTAATTGATTGCCTAGAAAAGGGTAGAACAATTACGGGTGTATACTACACTGCCAGGCAAAATTAACCGGACAAATAAAATTTCGTTCAAATTAAATTTGAAATGACTTTTTGGCCTTTGCATGAGTTTCATTAATTTTCTCGTCAAGTTGTAGGTAATTTCATTGTTATCATTACCGACTGCCGATTTTGAAAAAAAATTGAAAATGTTTGTTGTTGTACAGGGTGTAATTAAAAGGTGCATTTTACCCTACATTTCTGAACACCTTGTGGAAACTTTGGATTACTGAATAATGTATCTTCGTATGAGAATTTTAAGCATCAACTTTAATCAACAGTTTTTTTTATTCATTGGTAAGAAAACTATGCGAATCATAACCATAAACAATTTAACTGAAAAAATTATCATCATTGGAAAAATTGTTATCAAAAACGAGTATTCCCTCCCCGGGCTTGAATAACAGCTGTCATCCTCTCTGGCACATATACTCAATTAACCAGCTATTGTGTATTGGGGTACTTTCTTCCACTCGTTTACCAGCACCTGTTCCAACGCAGCTTCAGCTTGAAATTCTCCATAGTTCTGCATAAGCCTTCTTCCTAATGTATCCCACATGTGCTCAGTGGAGTTGAGATCCGATCGCCTTGGTGGCCAGTCTAGTACATATCTAGTCATTCTGGTTTTATGTGGCCGAGCATTATCTTGCATCAGGAAAAAATTTTCTCCTAAAAAGGAACCACATGTTCTTCCAAGCACTCTCTTATGTACCTGACGGCAGTAAGGTGTACTCTTCGTAGCGAAACAAGAACTGTGTTGGATTCCAAAGAAATACCGCCCTATACTATCACTCTTCCACCACCAAATTGCACTCTAGGAGTGAAACAACTTTGAACAAGGCCTTCTCCACACTTTTTGGCGACCATCAGGTGAATATCTCGTAAAACGAGACAAGTCTGTAAAAAGGACGTTTTTCCAGTCATCAATAACCCAATGTGCATGATTTCGAGAAAATACCAAGCGCGGCCTTCGATGACCTACATCTAATAAAGGGCAAGTACATGAACATAATCCAATCTTCGAGTCAAAGCTGTAGCAAGAACTGTCCTTTCTCGAAGCCAACCTTCAACTGTGTTTATTGCTTTCCGCCTTTCCTGCCCAGGTCTTCTTAGGTAAGAACTAGTTTCTCTAAATCTGTGCATCGTATCGAATACCGAACTGCGTGGAACCGCAAGACTTTCTGCGATATACCGAATAGGACGACCATCATCTTGTAAACCTACAGCTTGCGCTACTTGTTCCGGTGTCATTTTTGTTGAGGAATCTTTTCGGCATGCCATAAAAATGCTAACAGACACAGCCTACTTGAAACAAATTCTTGTTTATCGCTATGATTCGCATGATTTTCTTCAAAACAGCATATGTTCTTCAATAATTGATATATTGACATGAATAAAAAAAGAGATGTCGAGAAAAGTCAAGTCCGGTTAATTTTGCGTGGCAGTGTATTTCAGCTTCCTAAATCAACTGGATACCAACAAGGAAAATACCATTCGTCATGAAGACAAAGCACTAGTTCACAAATGTGTGTTTACAATGGAAAAACTGCAGGATTTGCTTCATCGTCCTTATTTTCATAATTTGGTACCCTCGGACATCCATCTATTTCCCGATTTGAAAAAATGTCTCTCTGGAAAGTTCTGTAGATTCGATGATGTAGCTTAGAGGGTCGTAGACGAATATTTGCACAACCTTCCAGAATTCCACTTTCAAGAAGGCATCCTAATGTTATAGAAACACTGGACCAACTGTGTTGGAGTTGAACGACATTATGTACAAAAATAAAAATTATTTTCAAAATGAAAGCCGTAATTTTCCATTACCATCCTGATAAAATTTTCACGCTACCCGGTACCCTCAATATCAGTGCTTAGGGGCCGTTCAAGTATTACATAAGCAGATATATTACAATTATTTAGCCCCCCTCCCCTCCCCTTGTCAGCAAAAGTAAGCAAAGCTCTTACCCCCTCCCCCATGCTTACGTAAACATTTGTTAATTAATGTATTGTTTTTTTTAATATAATTATAACGTTATAATTATAATTTGAAAAATAAGAAAATAGATTTAGGATTGCGATTATATTTCACTGATAAGGTATTCAACATAGAGTAAAGGATACAAATATTATATCTTACTAACATAACAAACTTATTTTAAATTTTTGGTACATATATTAAATTCAAATTAACAGTCTTCAGTCCATGAAACCCGAATCCATGATTCTAAGTTTTCGATAACATTGGATTGCTTCGATTGCTGATCAGTGTTGTGAGTTTGCTCGCTTTCATCGGATTTTGGAATGTCTACGTCATTCTCATCGAGCCATTCAACATCATGGTGCTCTAAATTTTGAATAATGCACATCAGTTCATTAGCACGACGAGCAGCGACTCTTGCAGGTCTCTACTTTCCTATCAGTGTGCGTGTTTAGTTTTTTATGGATATTTTCGATGTGACGATTTAGTGACTTGACGGAAGCATGATAAAGACCACACGTTTTGCATGTTCGACTTGATAGCCTCAATTTTACCGTCGGTCAAGAATAATCGTAGGGCATTTGCAGGAAATCTTTGAGTGAAGCACTTAAGCGTAGAGCTAAATTGACTGGAAGATTAAGAAATTGCCCTCCTTCATCCAAAACCAAGTCATCAACTGTTTGTTTTACTTTTACAGGTGTCTAGTAATCTAAATAGGCCACTTCTTGGACGACAGCATTCTGTATTGCTACATTTTACAATTTGAAGCAAGTATTGGCTCTCACGCACATGTTCTAAATATCACTTAATGTCTTGAAAATCAGGAAGATCTTGTTCACCTGCCCTAACATATTTTTCATTAACATTATAGTCATCAATTTCCATTGAACTCCATACTTCAGCTAATACATTTCCTGCAAATTCGAAATTAGATCTTTCTAAATGTTCATCAACTGTAACGCCACGTTCATCCAAATGAGACCCAAATTGGTCATCAGGCAATATTAAACCAGCCAGTTCCCGACAAAGAGAAGCCATTCTGCGCTCTACTCTGTTATACGCACTTCTTCCAGGAGCATTGGTAGCTAAAAACAATGCATCGAGATCATGTTGCTTAAAGTGTTGTATAGCAAACCCTATGACTTTTTGATAACGTGGATTTTCATCTGGCCCTCCATCAACCGTCATGATTACCACTGGTTTTACTAGTCCATGGTCAGTTTTAGCTAATGGTCGAAACCCTTCAAGTTCGAGAAGCGTCTCGAAATCCTGAACATTAGCAGTAGATGAACTATGCTTTCCACTTCGAATAGCGATGTATGTTGGTCCAGAATACCCAACGGCTTGCGGTTGTCCTAGCATATTGGAAGTGATTTTGATACCAGCATAAACAGATGGTATTAATCTATGACGCTCAGCGATTACCCAATCGTGATCAGGCAATTCGATTCTATATTCCATGTGCATTAGAAGAGGTGCTTGCTTATTTGCCGCAGTTACGCCAATAGGGACTCGAGCTTTATCATCTTGAGATATGAAAAATATTTGATCTGGCCCAAGTATGGATGCTATGTTCTCTAAACAATGGATTGATGTTTCAGCGAACTTGCTATCTAAGTGGCTCTTGTGGTGATCAGTTTGAGCCCGAATGAGCTTAACCGGGACTGTCGATACATGTCTTCGTCCCTCTGCAGAATTAGATTTTCTGGGAATGAAACGAAGATATGTCTCACTGCGACTATTCTCAAATCCTATTTTACGTAATTCTTGTGTGAGTTCATCAAGAGTTTTTACGCTCCGAATTGATTCCGTTCATCTTCTATCATCTGCTGCACTCCCAAATAAAGCTATATCCGCGATTGTTTTCAATAGTGAATGTTGATTGCTTTCAAGATTAGGACGTCCCACTGAATCCCTCAGAGATAGTATTTATTGTTGTTTTTATTTCCTCGCGCAACCTAATGATCTGTTTATCAACTTCAGCACGGCTTGGCATAGTATCTCTGGCAGAATATAAAGCATTCAGATTTTTTTCGAGTAGAGCAATCTTATTTTTCATAGCTTCCTGAGAAGGTTTTGCTCTCTGTTTATCTGAATTTTCATTAATTTCGCATTGCTGTTGTAATTCATTACCGAGTTTTATTTTATCTTATTCCTCTTTTTTAATATTTGAAGCTGACCGTATGATATGCTTTTTTCTGCAGGTTTACAGGTTGTCTAAAAATAAAAACTTTCTATGGCTTCTGATAAAGATTCTCTTATTAAGCTACATAAATACAAAGTATGATAATATATATGGTAAATACAAAACCCTACTGCTTTAAATCTAATATGTTTAAACGAGCAATTCGTTCCGGTCACAAAATACAGGGTGTTAGTTTTCTGCATATATGTATAAAACTAACATCCTGTACTTTGGGACCAATTGACGGAATCAATCATAAGAAATAAATCTATATTATAATGAATATTACCTCTATACTTTGAAATAGGCCATAATATTTTCTAATCAGTAAAGAGAAGCTTTTTGGCGGTTTCTAATATTTCTAGTACCCATAGGTACCTAAAATGATTTGATCACTCACCTTAGAAAAAAAATTTAGTAGATTGGATTTATTCTTAGTCGCCGCTTGCAATTCTTCTTCGATTCTCTTAGATACAATAATATCTAGTTCCTTGTCGGATTTTGCTTGTAATTTGAAATTTCGCTACACTTCGTTAACTAACTTTTGTACATTTGGTACTTTCGTGCTTGAATGAGATTTTTTAAAACTTTCAAACAATTTTTGGTATAACTTCGATTTGTCTATGTGAAACGACATCTTATTTAAACATTGAGCTTTGGCTAATGGAATCAATGGTAACACAAGTGTTAACTTGCTTTACTACGCTTACAATACGTCTACTGGCTATAGTATCCAAACAAAACAATACACTGATAGAGGCAATTTAGACAAGTGAACACCGAGCGGTAATTCCCCTACTCGGTTCTAAAGCGAGTAGGGGAATTACCGCGCGCTGTTCACTAAACGTATGCATTATTTGCGGGAATCCCCGAAAATGACTTTCGTTTTCAGGCAAAGACAATGTGAGGGTTGCCATTCGTGTAAAAAAGTAAATAACTACCGATGACGTAATCATCATCTAGACTCCCCTACAACCCATGTCATCCAAAATAAGCAAAGCTAAGACCCCCTCGCACCCCCCATAGTGCTCACGTAACACTTGAACGGCCCCTTACAGCAATACATAGGGTATACTATACATACACTATGTTACTGTTTTATCACATACTATACAACGCAACTGCCATAGAGGGTATAAATGATTGTAAATGGCAACACTGGCTCGTTGTTGCTCAACCGGCGTTGTTGTGCGTTCTTTAGTTGTGACTTTTACTGTTTTTAGGGCCTTAACTTTTTCACGTCAGTCGCTATACAACGATCCTTCTCAACACGGTACGGCTGGTCACGTGCATCTTACCGTTGGCTCTGTGTACGTGGAACTAGCCGGCTTCAATAAGGCCCTCGACAGCTTCCAACTTGCTCATAGGATCGCCCAAGCTGTGCATGATCCTGCTTTGGAACTACAGGTACATATTTGGGGTATTCAGCATTTCATATCAGGGAATTTGAATGAAATGAAATCGTTTTTTCAGCGGTGTCGTTTCTAGAATCCGCATATTATAACGTGCGAATCATTTATGGTTGTGGTCAGCCGGGTTTCAATGTGGACCAGAGAGAGACAGAGAGAGAGAGAGAGAGACACACACACACACACACACACACAGAGAGAGAGAGAGAGAGAGAGAGAGAGAGAGAGAGAAGCGAGTTGAGCCTATAATGGTTGTGGTCAGCCGGGTTTCAATGTGGACCAGAGAGAGAGAGAGAGAGAGAGACACACACACACACACACACACACACACACACAGAGAGAGAGAGAGAGAGAGAGAGAGAGAGAGAGAGAAGCGAGTTGAGCCTATAATACGTATGTTAGAAAAGATAATCATCACGTCGCCAGCGAGGAAGACTACACATCACTCTTTCTAGCTCCTTCTAACATCGATCTTGGACGCTTGTCTGGCTTGTCTTTGGTACACAAGCCTTAATGATACGCACGAAATTTGTTAAGTCATAGATGCGTTATTCTATGTTTTACATGGTTTTTATGTTTTAAATTTGCGAATGCTTCAAATAATGCTAAAATTGCTGTGCACAAGGCTTTAGAAACTGGATTTCAGAAAATATGTGTACATGTTGCAGGTATACGTAGGACTTTCAGAGCTGTTCAGTAGACTTCAAGATGCCGACAAAAGTGCAAAATATGCGTCTAAAGCTTATGATTTGTCGCGATCTTTGCAGTTAGGGGACTTGAACTCCAGACATCACAGGTAAGCGGCTATTAACGCAATTAAAAATTACGCTTACGAAAAAGGATGTACATTCACCATATTTTGAAATCATTACGGATCACTTAAAAAAATATGATGGATGCGCAATATACAGGGTGCGTCATCTATTACTTTTTTCTATTTTAAAAATCAACACGCGTTTTACGAGGTGAAATCGATTTTTTTTATTGATAAATGAAGGTTGGTTTATGCTATTAATGTATGAACAATAACATCAGTTATGTGACCACCGCGGCTTCGTTTACAGGCCAACATCCGAACATCAAAATTTTCAATGATTTTTCCCAGAATAATCGGGCGTATGACCGCAATTTCAGAATATTGCGCTTTAGGTCTTGAATTGTCCGGGGACCATTCGCATACACCTTTCCTTTCAAAAATGGCTAAACTAAATAGTCAAGAGGTATTAAATCGCACGATCTCGGGGGCCAACTGACATCTGAATTTCGTGAATTTATGCGGTCTTGAAATTTCGTGTCCAATAAGGCGATTGTTTGGCGAGATGTGTGAGCCGTTGCTCCGTCTTGATGAAACCAAAGATCGCTGGCACCAATACAATCCAATTGGCCACAAAAAGTCTGTTAACATGCCGCGATAACGTTCCCCGTTGACGGTAATGGCCTTTTCTTTGGCATCTTCAAAGAAGAATGGTCCAACGATGCCACCAGACCATAATCCGCACCAAACAGTCACTTTTTCAGGATGGAGAGGTTGTTCATGATATTGGTGTGGATTTTCAGCCCCCCAGAATCTGCAATTTTGCTTATTTACGTACCCATTGAGGTAAAAATGAGCCTCATGAGAATAGAGCACTTTGGCCGAAAATCCGTCTTCTCTTTCCAGCATCCATTTAACAAAAACACGCCTCTGTTGATAGCCTGCCGGCTTCAATTCTTGTGTTAGTTGGATTTTGTATGGATGGAGGTGTAAATCAATGTGTAAAATTCGGCGTAAGGTGGTCTGACTAATTCCCAATTGTAAACGGTGCCTAGTCGATGTGGTTGGATCTTCTCGCACACTTTCACTCACTACGGCTATGTTTTCACGAGTACGAGCTCGACGAGCATGTTGGTATGGTCTACGACCTCCAGCTGAACCAGTTTCCTCAAACCGATTAATAATCCAACGAATTCCAGGCTCTGTAGGGCGTCCATGTCGGCCAAAACTAGTGCGAAGTTTGCGAAAAGTATTTTTTATATTTCGACCGTTTTCGTAATAAGTTTGGATAACTAAAATGCGTTGTTGTGTTGTAAACGAATCCATGACTATAAATGACAGTTCATTTATGCATACCACATGACTTTTGACTCACATGGTAGCACATAAACTTATAGGTAAAAAAAAGTAATATATGGCGCACCCAGTAGAACGATAGACTACTTGCTGTCTTACTACCTAGAGCAGTAGCCAGCAATCCAAATGCTTGCAACGATCATGCTAATTCCAATTTTTTCTGATATTTGTATTCATATTTTCAGAGCTGCCTTATTGCAAATGGCGTCAGCTTTAAGAAAACAGGGAGAATTGGGTGACGCTCATGACTACTGTTCGGTAAGGAATTTTGAATGTGACGATACTTGAGATCACTGATTTTTTACTCTCAGGAGGCTACAAGACTCGCATTAGTGTCTGGAGACCAAGCCACATACGCAAGAAGTATTAGAATAATGGGTGATATTTATAGGAAACGACAAGATATAAATGTAAGTTGGCATATCATTCGTTGTTAGCTTTTTAAGACCATAATAACCCTTTTGCTTAAAACAGCGATTTTTTGCCTCAAAACATGGGAGTTATATTATGTAAAGTTCTGCAGAGATTTATTTTAATTTTACATCGCTTCGATCTTGTACTGAGCTTAGCTTTGCAATTGATTATCACGTTTCACTGCCTTTAATCAGTTAGGTCAACATTAAAAATAAAACGGCCTTACAAGATTTATAAATAACTTCCTTTAATGTTATTAGCGGCATTTCAATCCATATTATGCGCGTATTGAGATAATAGCTATTCTTTATTTAACATAACCAGCACTAGATATACAGGTTGTTAATATACAGTGGTTCTCAGAAAGGTCCCTTCTACCTATTTTTTGTCAAATTAGCAAGCTGAAATTTTTTAACATGTAAGTGATGAATCAATCATATATTTTGACGTAAAAATAACAGTTGAAGGTTTCAAAATGGCGGTTGGGCATCGTTTTGCAACAATTTTTAAATGAAGCACGATATCGCATGATACCTTATTTTGAAAATTGTTACGAGTACTTTTATAACCTAGGAACATAAAAATCACTCTACTCTAGAACTGCTCAACAAAACGTTTTCGTATGTTATATCAATCCTCTTTTGGAATGTGAGACATTCAGATTATAAAATTTTTATAGAATTTGACAATTTTTTTCAAATGTGATGTTTTATGATGTATTCGGATAAACCCTTCCAAAACAAGACGATTGACGGGATATGCTACACCGTTCTGATGAGTTGTTTTTGAGTTATAACCGCGCAACTTTGAGGACGTGCCAGTTCGCTATTTTTAAGGACGATGATTTTTTATTCTAGGATTGTATTTATATATGTAGAGCTTCAAAATGAGGAATCACACGAACTCTCCGCCATCGCGACTTCTTCAATTGCCGCTATTACCTTACATTTCAGTGTACTTACTAACTGGACTCGCTCAAAATTTAAGAAGTGGGGTTCATTTTCAGGTGGTTCTAAGAAAAAAAAAGTTCAAAATGCTATAAAAGACAACAAACTATCAGGGCCATCTACGAGCCCCTTCCCACTTCAGTTGGCCGACTTCAAGATTTGAACCAAAATATGCCTTCATAAACTAAACATGACGAAACTATTTACTTCTACAACAATTTATTTTCTCAAAAACATTTTAGATACACTCTAGTCGTAAAAAATACATATTTGAAATCACTTAGACCTATAAGTAATAGAACATCTGAACAAATAAACAATGTGCGAATAAATGCGCGAAGTTAACAAAGCAACAATTGAAAGATTACCATTGGGTAACATCACCTTTATTTTTTATTACGGCTGAAATTCTTTGGGGCATAGTGTTAACCAAGTTTTGTCAAAAATTTGGTGTAAAACAATCCCATATTTCTTGAAGCTTTTGTCTCATTCCGGTGATTGTACGGGCAGGATGTTGTCGTAGAACCTTTTTCATCTCGTGCCACAAAGTTTCAATAGGTGACAGATCTGGGCTGCCAGAACCCCAATTCAAAAGTGGTACATTATTTTCTTCCATCCATTTTATAGCCTTTTTTGAGATATGGCACGCTGCACCATCTTGCTGAAACACAAAATCTTGGCCGGATGTCAAACATTCTTCCATCACTGGTAGAAGCGATTCTTCTAAAATTGCCAAATATTTGTTTGTATCCACATTTCCATCAATAAAATAAAGTTTTCCTACTCCTTTTGGTGACATACTGCCCTAGACCATAACGGATGCTGGAAATTTAACTTTTCTCTTCAGACAGTCAACATGGAATGCTTCAGTTTTTTTGGGAATAACTGTTACCAACACAAACTTCGAATCGGGGCTCGTCACTCCATTGTATTGCACACCATTGTTGAGGTATCCATTGTCTATGTTCTTAATCCCATTTAAGCCGATTTTTCTTTTGCAGTGGAGTTAATAGTGGCTTTTCTTTGGCCTATAAACAAGTTGTGCAACTTTAGGGTTTTTACTTCACTTTTTTTATAAGAAAATTTACCTTGCAGGTGCTAAATTCCAGTTTGTGGGCCTCTCTATGAGTTGTGGCCCTCGAAATTCTCCTTCCAACAGCGACACTCCACAGAGCACTTAATTGGAAATAATTGGCACGCCAGTTTTTCACGATTATTCTTCTTAATGCTCTTCGGTCGGCATTTCTGATATTACTTTTTTTCACATATCGTGGCTTAATATTAACTGAACCAGTTATGTTATATCTTCTAACAATATTTCTCACACTGTACTGCGATAAGAGTAACTAAGTTGCAATTTCTGAGTTTGATTTTCCAGAATTAAAAAAAATTCATTATCAGTAACCGAATTTTCTCACTAATAATCTTTCCTCTACCCATTTTGAAAACCTTAACTACCCAAAACTATTTTAAACGTATTCTGATAGCTGCGATTAATAAAAACAATTGTCATGGCTTTTATTTTTCACAGCCACCTATGCGTTATAGACTTATTTTGCATTGAAATGAAAATAGGTTGATATGCTTTAATTGCAACATGTGTTATTTTTATGCTGCAAATTTGATTAGGGAGTGACAAAGTTGGTGTTTTCTACTCTATATTATCAAAATATTCATTGTTAATATTTTAAACCTATAACACCCTGCTACATTTTTATTATTTGTGTTTGATAAGAAAAAAACAAAGATTTCAATAGTTGGGCCAACTGCAGTGGGAAGGGGCTCGTAGATTGGCAGATTTAATCCTGCTATTACGAATTTCTCGCAAAAGTCAGAAGGTATTTTTGGACCAAATTTGGTACAATACCTATGCCAGCATTTGCTGAGCATTTTATTGAAAATTACTACTTGATGTAGATAAGTTTAGAGAAAAATAATATATTCTTGAAAATTCATCAACATGTCCATTAAAGTGCCTGTTATTGCTTATCGGGCACACCGTCTGTGTCTGGGGGATATTTATGCGAAGATAAATACTGGCAATGATGAGGTAACAAAGCTATTTCTTTGGAAAAAGCACACAGGAAGAGTCTTTACCACATTTGAAATCAACGCTCTTCTCTCAGCGGTAGATTCAAAAAGTAACCATAGATTGATCGTATTGAATTTCATTTCCACACTCTTAGCTGAACTGAAAAAGAAGTGTTATTAGGATCAAATTAGGTCTAAGTACGTGTTGGAAAGCAACATTATTTCGCGCGATAGTCAAGTGAGTTGAATATTTGTAACAAAAATTTGATCGGTACCCGTAACAAAAATTTGTCGTTTTATACTTCATCTTTGATCACAGTAGAAGCTATATAAAATGATTCTCAGATTATTTAGTTTTTAACTTCTAAACTTCTAGAAAGCCTTCAGACAGTACGAAACTGCCATGGGATCAGCGGCAGCCATGGGAGACAGAGTGATCCAGATGGAATCCATGGATGGAGCTGCTAGATGTCTGGAAGCCTTAAGATTACAGCACAAAATCTGCAACTGCAGGCCACTAGAGTTTAACACTAGACTGTTGGAAGTTGCCAGTTCTGTTGGAGCGAAGGTATACACATTATATAATTGTATAGGCAATACTGTTCGAGAACCAGTATTATAGCTCAAAACTACATTCTGAGCTCACATTTCGTCACTTTCAGCGTTGCATTTTCGTTCTCTTAGGCTATAGGCAAGCAAAAGTGTTATGGCTTTGTAATTTTGGGAGCTGACTTCAAATACACACTGGGCCATAAAGTTGAACGGATTTTAAAGTATCACAATGCATAGGGAAGATGATTTATATTTTATATTATGAATAGTCTGGCTCATCCGCCAGACTATGCGGTACCCAGAGAGAACAGTTTCCTTACGTGTAAATGGTCATGCAGAATTGAATGAATTCCTGACGCATGAACGTGTAAGGTCTCATGTATCTGTTGGTATGTCGCTCTCTGGTCTTCGTCAAGAATTTTCCTCACAGCAGTAATGGTTTCCTCTGTTACTGACGTTCGCGGCCTCCCTTCCCTCTCAGTGTCCTCCCTTTGGAAGTCTCTGTGCTACCTGAATATAGTCGTACTGTGAGGACAACCATTATTTAATGCAAGCAACGTTTCTTCTGAGCACTGCTCTATGCTTAAGCAACGCGTAAAGTTAATACCGTAAAACTTCCCTTATCTCACTAAGTAAATACGTTCCATAGTCGTCCGCAATTTACACTGTCAATACGAATGAACAACTAAATCAACAGACGTGCTGCTGGCGGCTACTATGCACTCATGGACATGTCTCAAAATTCAGTAACATGCAGCCTCCTGCGTCCGTTTATTAAGTCATATTGCAAAACTTTCATAGTACCTTAATGCGGCATATAATAACTACAGTATATTCAGATAAGAGATAGACCGGACATAAACAAGACCACGATCATCGAACGCTGTAACATTCGGCAGGGACGTATTAAGAGTCACGCAGTACATATTTTAGATAGTAGATGCTGCTTTGCGTAACTTTGTAGTAAATTAGCACAATTCGATGTGTACACGATTGGTGATGGATATAGGATCATGTGGGGGTGGGGTAAGAAATATATAATGATGTAAATATACATAAGGGTTTCAAAATTTTCGCTTCGATTTCCAGCTCCGGATGCCGCCTGATGTTTGGTGAAATACAGTCGAATATAATCTCAAAATGGCGTTTAAATTAGCCTAAATTAAAAATAATCGTATATCTCTTAAATTTGCTTTTAGAATATTGATTAGTATATTTTTTGATTTCTAGGTAAATATGTAACCAAATTAAAACGTTCAAAACGTAAAAAAATGTGCATGGTTGAACATTGTCAGAAAGTAGATTCTTGAATAGGTTTTGCCAAAATGGGTTCAAAAATGTCAATAATTAATTAAAAAATACAGTAGCTTCATAATTACTTATAACTTACCGAATTTGATGAACGAAATCTTTTATTGGAAAGATGAGCTTGATGAGCTTTCATCATCGCTACTGCCTGAAGCACCAACGTCAATAATGAATGGCTCGACTTGTTCCTCTAAAATATTGTCCAGTTCCCACATTCTCTTTTCAACTTTATCTTTCACGTGCTAAATACAGTTTTCCCATTTTTGCGCTGTTATTAATTCTAGTGCTTCTTTGAAAAGTCCTTTGAGGTCACAAAATTTAAAAGTTGTATTGTGCTTAGCTATATAATTTTTAACCTCTGCCCATATGATCTCAATGGGATTGAGCTCGCAATGGTATGGAGGTAAACGGAGCACAGTTTTATTTTGACTTGCTGCCATTTCGTCAATGGCGTATTTTTGATATTCCGCCTTGTGATCCTTGACAATTCTTAATAATTTTACTTTCAGCATTGCTTCTTCAAAGTTGATATTTTTCGAGCGGAGCCAATTTTGAACATCAACTTTCCTTGAAGCCGTTGTTGGGACCTTCTCCATTCTTCGAGAATGATAAGGCGCATTATCCAACACAATTACTGCGTTTTCCTCTAAGTTCGGTAAAATTTTTGAAAACCACTGTTCAAACGATTCGCCATTCATTTCCTCGTGGTAATCTCCAGTTTTCTTAGACTCAAAGCACCACAGACCGTCAACAACAAATCCATCCTCACTGCCAAAATGGCAGATAATGAGCCTTTTCCCTTTACCTGGAAATCGAAGTACTAACTGGTGTAGATTTATTTCAATAAGCGAACCTTTTTCAAATGTTCATCACATTCAGCGAAAAAACATTGAGACATGAGTATCAGATTGCTATAATTGGGATTATTTAGTCATATTGAAAGAAAGAATATTGAACGTCGTATGATTACTCAGCGCTTCACAATTTAATTTAAAGTTATAAACCTTTAAAGAATGAATGATCAGGAACCTGAAATACGCGCAAATATTAATATTAACAAATTATAACTTTATAAAGCTTAAAGTATGAATTAAAATGATTAGAAATATTAGGAACGGTACACAATATAAAACTTAGTAACTTTTTTTAAGTTTATAATATTCGACATATTTTAAGATTATATTAAAAGATTATTGAAATATCGAAAACACATAAAAACATGGCTTAAAAAAGTTCTAACAAATGAAAATGACAATAAAACATCCACGCATTCTATCTAAAGTTATAAAAGTTTTGTTACTTGTAATATGTTTTATCTGCCCCCTGGAATTAATGTTTAGAACCTTGTTCCCAAGGTTTGAAAAACATCCGATTGTTGTCTATTACTCGTATTTACCTGCTGGATTTTTTAATCCGGTGGACAGTCCATCTAGAAAGGCCCTCCTGGATGAAGTTACAGAATCATCAACCCATACTTTACTTGTAGTATGTCCTGCGTTTACCCACGTTTCATCAAGGTAATAAATCTTCCTGTTTTGATTTCTATATTTCCCAATTTTTGTTAAATAATCCCTCATCCATAGCACAATTTCTTCTCTATCCAGTAGTAAACTATTACGACTCCGTTTTTTCCATTTGAAATTTAAATGCTTCAGTAACGCATGGAAAGTTGATCGTTTGAAATTTGGCAACGTTGTATCTCCATTTACCTCCTGCAGTACTTTATCTATAGTAGGTATTTCATTCCTAAAGAAGAATTCATGCACTTTCCTCCTAATCGCATGCTTATCAGCTTCATCCAATGATTTAACAATACTTTTGCGATGTTTACTGGTCATTGGCTCAGAAAAGGTGTGATTTTTTTTGTATTGTCTTAACACATTAAACACTGATGCGCGACACACCCCAACTTTGTGAGAAACCTTCACTACAATTTCTTTGATGGTTGATGCCTCGTTCTCCTCGCGCTCGATCTTATATATATTCAAAATGACCTCTTTCATTTCTGCACTCAGGTGTCTTTTTTTAGAGCGTTTCCTAGGTGGACTACAGGAGTTTACAACTTCATCGGCAGTATCTGTACTACTGGGCATTTTGCGCAAGCAGTTGATAACAATAACAATCAATAACAAGGTATAACAATAACAACGACAAACTCAACAACTTAATAAGATAACAAACGAAAACGTCCAAAGAAATATCAAATTTCAATGATGCACACGACATACGTAACACGTCTGAACCTGAATGTGACTCTGCCTTGATACGACTGCTCTGCCGCTCGGCATAGGCATTTAATTGCGAATTGACCAATGAGGGCTCCTGTTTTACGTCGAGACGGCGGCGTTAGCGTGAAAATCACCCGAACCTTTTGTTTACATCCGGTCTATCTCTTATCTGAATATACTGTATATTCTTTTCCACTGTCTTGACTTTGTATTTTTAATAGTTGTTAGTATTGAAGATCCGAATCCGGCTGTCCCGCATTTACCACGCTTTGGGTGATGAAGATCAGAGACTTCATCACGAAAGGGTCGCCTTCCGAGTCCAAGAGGAGTTGAAGTTACAATGTGGTGGTTGTGGCTCGCCTTATGGTATTGAGAATGACTCGCTGGAAGCGTTGCCTTGTGCGCATATCCTTCATGCTAGGTGAGAATTTCAGTAAAAGAACAACAAGAATATTAAAAAGAAAAACTTGACATGGGTGGGATTTGAACTCACGACTTCCCGAATTGCAATATTTCAGTGCATTAGATGAGAGAAAAATTACAATATCAGAAATCGAGTCTCCTTATTTTACATACGGCACGAATATTCCATTTCGTGATAATGCTAAGAATCTAAGTGCTATATTTGACTCAAATCTTGGATTTAACATACATGTAAGTAGTAATCTTTCAGTCGAGTTATATGAAGATGAAGCTCTTATATTCTAATCGCCATATCCTAAACGTGTGCCCTAACAAATTCTGTAAAAGTCTTACATAGTCAATTTTAGCTTAAGCTCCAGTCCTCATTTACTCATGCTTAGATTCGGTTTGCAAGTCAAAATTTCAGAAGCTTCAGAGCAACTGTTGCATATTTATATTTGGTCTTAGGAAGCACAGTACCGTATCTTCAAACATCAAGGGTCAGAGTTGATTTATTCAATGATTATTCTATGCTTTTAAGGTGTAAACCAAATTGCTATCAATCTGCGGCACAATAATCTACTTTCCATTCCCATACATAATACGTCAGTCTTTGAAATGTCTTTTAAGGCCGTACCGTCACTCGTTCCTAGATTGTAGGATACCTTTAAGGTCTCCTTGATTGTCATAGTCTTTTCTCTCTTTTCAGAAAGGCTGAGGGTATTTTTAGATTTCACCTGTTCCGTGTCAGTGTCAGCGTTCTCCTATTGTGAAGTTATGTTTTCTTTTTGAATTGTAGGAAATTTTAGGCAGATGTAAATCAAAAGTATGAACAATTGTAGGAAGTCTTTATGGTCTCCTTGATTTTCATAGTTTTCTACTGTTCCGGGTCAGCGCTCAATTTTGGGGTTATGTTACAAATATCTATTCGCATCAAATTGTTCAAGCTTTTGATTTATCTCATCTGTTACAATTCAAAAAGAAAACATCGCCTCACAATAGGAGAGACACAGAATAGTAGAAATCTAGAAATACCTCAGCCTTTCTGAAATGAAGGAGAGAAAAGACTATGAAAATTAAGCAGGCCATAAAGGCGTCCTACAATTGTAGGAACGACTGACGATACGGCCCGAAGAAGTCAGTCAAGTTGCACTTTCTGGGCTCAGCACACGGAGTAATAAATTCACTTTGCCGAATGGTATCTTGTTCATATTTCGTTTTATTGATTCTATTCTTTCTGTATGTTGATATATTTACTCATTTTTAAGGCACTTCTTATAGTTATCTGATTAATGTTGTTATCCTAATCTTTTGAGTGATGTCTGGTTAGTAGTATGGTTATTTGGTACAGTAGCCATAGCTAAATTTCAGCATACTATGATCAGTTTCTGAATAAAGACATTATTATTAATTCTTGGTGGGGTCGAGCCACATTTTCCAAAATAGGACTTCGTTTAAGTTATTAGTGCTCGAAGATAGATCATTGACTGGTACAAAATGACTTAAATCCGTAGCTGAATATCTAAAAAATACCTAGGATCAGGGATATTGTGCGTTCAAATCTTACCTATGAAGTTTTTCCTAGGTGTGAGTTTCTACAAGCGGTACCGCTAAGACGTGATGTTTCTATCAAAGAAAGATAGGCAAACCTTTAAAGCGACTTGTCTTTATTTTCAGATGTGCCTACGACTTATTTAGAAGAAGTAAAAAGAAGATGAGGTCCTGCCCTGAATGTGATCGTACTAGTTCTCGTCTCTACCTGAACTGCAACGACTACAATATGACATATAGTCCGGTACCATTATCCATATGCTCCTCTGATAGCCATTGTACCTCCCACCAAGCAACTAGTTCCGTATAATACGCTTTTTCTACTCATCAATAATGCCTGCTTTAACTGTTGAATAGTTTTTCTATTGAAAATCTTGCAGTTTTGGATGCCACATTACGTAAAAACTGGAAATCTGGTAGTTGCAAGTGAAAACTTCACACTGCGTTGAGACAGCCCAACCGCTGTCAGCGCCATCTATGAAATAATTGCCCAACTGCAAGACTGTCCATATTTGCCTTAAGAACCGCAGGTCGCAGTTGGCTGGCACGGCTTGTGGGTTGCAGGCTCATAGGTTACCAAATGGAAGACGCTTTTGGAACAACGGGCATTGGTACAGGTTTAGTGCTATTTTGCCATTGGTTCCGATATGTGAGAAGTATATGCTGCCCTAGAGCAGAAAAGAACTCGATAGGATCAGCAAAGCGGCACGGATATTACGAATCTTGAAAAGTGACATTATGTCGATTTTTTTGACATTATGTAGATTTTTCTACTAAATGTTAACTTAGCATTAGGTGATGGATACGTGGTGAACTCGTTTTGTAGTTGTACGTGTTGCCTACACGTCATGGGGCTTTAGTTATGAATGTTTGGCTCTGATGTGATGTAGAATCTGCTTCAGAGATGGCATTACTGGAGCTATTGGCAATACATAGGTGCATAGTGAGGATTTGTGTGCCAGTAATATGTGTTCATGATAATTCCATTGGCTTCTTGTTTCAAATACACTTACTTTTGATTCAAAGCTAAAAATTTGTTGCGCATAAGAAAATAAAATCCCTGGTTGGTGAAGGAATAGGTGAGAGGATATGCTACAGACAGGAGTATTCATGAAAGTGAAAAGGTTATTACTTTTTATTTCCAGTCATTTAAATATAATAGAAATTTATTTTGCAATGTCAATAGAAAATACAAATCAGCGCCAAAATGTGAGGCACTGCGAAAATGTTTGATGCGTGATGCGTCATTACTAATTTTTCTGTGATGTGGCTTAATTGCACACAACGCGGGAGCGGTGGCGACTTCTCATAGTGCTCTTCAAAGTTTTTGAAAATATAAAAAACAGGAAAAATCGTAATTCATAACTTTGAACATAACCTGTCTTCAGAAAGGACAACATAAATAAATAATCCGTCGGGCCCAGCTAATAGATATATTTAATTAGCAGCATATTCAGTAATAATTTTCTCACACCAGACCAATACACATAATCATCCAGATGCGATCGTGCTATTCAACCAACTTTCTTTGTTTCACATCTTCACAGAGATGAAAACTACAGACTACTCGACTTCACAAGACATATGCAACCAATAATGCGTGTAGTTGAGTACAGTTTGAGGTTAGAAATTACAATTTGACAGTTGCAATTACGTAATAAGTAGTAGCAGTATCCAAATTTGCACAAGCTGACAAGATTTGCAATAAGAATGATATTCAAAAATATGCAAAGGACTGAGGATAATAGATGAATTCTAGTTTTCAGGTCGCACAGTATCTACTACTGTTACTGGTCGTGAAATATTCAGATAGACATTCTAGCTGTCTGAAGTCACACCAAGGTATGATAAAAATGGTAAACATGTATAGCGAAAAGATTTATGTGTACGATAGAAATGTTTCTAAAATCATATAGATTTGTTTCAATGGAAGACCAAAAGTTACAATTAAAATTCTATAAAAATGGACCAAACCTACAGAACCACGCCATCCATTGAAAAATCACGTTAGGTACATTTTTCTTCCATCAGAATGTGTGTGGTAGCAGATATTGTGTCTTCATTAAAATATCAATGCCTATTCTAATAGATCCGAGGGTCAACCTTATTTTCAAGGTCAAATATAAGGGTTGACCTGCCAGGGGGCTTTAGAACCGGCATGTTTCCCCTACTCCGATAAGTAACGTATGTCTCCACTGGTAATACACTAATATGATGTACATGTAGAAATGTGCCAACAATATCTAAATCATTAGTTTTTTTAACGAAAAAGATTTAACAAACATATTCAATTTTTATTTTGTTCTATTTTACACATTTTCAGAGACGTTTGCTTTGTTGTTTATACATCTTTACCTAGTTAATAAAAATTGTACTTAAAGAAATCAAGGTGTAAAATCACGTATCTGTACTTGGAGAATATTGAATAAAGTTAAGTTCATTAACTGACAAATATAATGTGATATCGATGCTGTGGTTTCCACACTGAAAATCGCTATGTTTATATGGAAGCCAAATGAAACCACATATTTTGTTAGATTGACTGCTCAATAATGTTTGTCGTATTAAAAAGCATTATTCACATAACAAAATTATGAAAACTATGATCTTTATAAAAAGAAGACAAAACCTTGATTATTCAATGCATCGTTATTCTCCAACTACAGTGTTTATATAAAAATTAATCTGCGACCTTTGTGATTTTTTTGCTTTATAATATAAATTCAATTTTGTAAGGTTTTTACATTCCCCTTTTGCAGTAGTAGATAAGTTTTACTTTATGTATACCAAAGAAACTACGACATAGACGAATAAGTGATAGTTGATAATTTTGTTATTAGGGCTAATGTCAGTACTTCAATGAAATTTCGATGCAATTACAAGCTTTCTTCTTCTCTATAATAGTGATGTTTCTGTTATTTATAGTTATTCTGCTGTTTTTCTTAACATGGCTTGCTGAACTGGCCAATTTATCCATTTGACTATAACACTTGCCATCAAATTAGTAAGAGACACGAGACAGTAACCATTCAGAAAGTGATTTATGTTACCGTATAAGAATTCATCTAATACCTCATACTTTAATTCACTATATAGCTATACAGTATTGTCAGGGAATCATTGCGACCAAGTATTCAATGTATATGAGAGAGATACAGAAAGGAACCCAAATGTTAGAGCGAGAGCAAAAACTAGGCGTGCTCGACGCAGAGGACAACGAGTCTGTGGACGGTTCATCCTCGCTCTCGCTCTAAAATATGTGTTTCTCTCTGTCTCTCTTGCTTGTTCACGTTGAATACTGGACCTAAACGATTTTCTGCTGATCTTGTATATGATATTTTGCTCAGTTCAGAAGCTATGTTAAGCAGACTCGTTCTGGTTCATAGACTAAAAATGTAGATAATAATGATAAAAAATATATTTCGAATTTGCACTAAAAAAATTGCACACGGGTTATACATTGGAAATTTCATCACAATCCAAAGCTAAAGATGATACTTTCTTAATTGCAACTTCAACATAATTTTTCAGTTACATATTCATCAGGTTACGATTTTAGGGGAATTAAATGTTTCCGTTGACCCTTTTTAAATTATTTTAGCAGTGCCTTCTTGGATGTTTTTAAGGTTTTCTCAGATTGTAATGAAAATTTCCAAACAATTAGGTAAATGAAATAAAATTTAATCAACTACGAACAATCAATGGATATAATGTAAAATTATCAGATTATATAATAATGTAAATATGTTTGAGAAATCTTATAAATAAAGTTTAAATTCTGTATATAAGGTGTATGCGTTTTATTTAATCACACTGAAATCCTGCAACCTGTCTCAAAAACTGTAAAGATTCTACTCCTAAGTCTGAGGTTGAGAAAACTACTATTTTTTTACTTCGCTGCAATGGAGACCTTTCTGGGCAGGCGAGTCAAGTAAAACGCCCCAATGTATTTATGGAAATATATATTAAAATAAACAATACACTTTAAGTCAAAATTATGCTCATTTCATCTCTGTTTCTTCTATTATATTATTCGTGGACAATTTTTCTTTCATGGAACTGAAAAAAAAGTAAGGATAAATATGACAAGAATTTTCCTAAGAATATATACTCATATATATATATATATATACAGGGTGACTTCGAAGTTGAGTCATTTATTTTAACAGTGAGTAGATCTGATCAAAAGAGATGTTTTTTCCTTTACCATTTTTCTGGTAAAATTAAAGTAACAAAGTTATAGCCCTTTGGAAGTTTGAGTACCGCCCTGTCTCAATCATAATATCATGTGATCGTGTTTGGCAACAACGGATATAATCCACCTTATCGGTTCATCGCATCGGAAACAAAAAAGCGAAAGAATTTGGAACGATGTTTTTATTCAGTTCAGTTATACATACAGTCAGTGTCAGTCGCGTGTGAATAGTGTCTGTTGCGTGGCTCAAACGAAATAAAAAATGGCACATGTTTATGCGGATCGGTTTCCCAATCGAGTGCAACCAACCCCTCGTGCCTTTGTTAATGTAGTACAACGGGCTCGTGAATCAGGTGACTTAAGACCTCACAGGGGACCTCACGATCAAATACAGGTCCGCACTGAAATACTTGTCGGGAGGATACTTTATAAAACAAGGTAAAATTTTTTTTTTATTTCTTTTTATTTTTACACACATATTTTGGTTTATCTTCCTTCTACAATCATATCTGAAAATTAATGACTTAACTTCAAAGTCACCCTGTATATATATACAGGGTGTCCGCAAAGTTGGGGTTTTCCTTTACACGACGTGTAGATCTTGAAAACATAAGCAATTTTTCTTAGTACCATATACACCAATGTCTTAAGGGAACCGAGATAAAGGGCTCTGCAACATCAAAAATATCTGAATACCGTCCTGTAGCCGCGACATCCCCGAGTGGTACTAGGTCACTAGCTCAACCCGACGACAGAACTGGGTCGGGGTCAGTTTGTCAGGTCAGTATGCAACCTTCAACCGACGGTTACGGTCATGCGTGTAGAGGTAATCGCGTAGACGAGAATCCCTCAACAAGCAATAGAGACGTGGCTAGAGAAGTGCAAGAATCAAAACCTAAAGTGTGGCAAACGCTGCGTGAAGAGGGGCTGTATCCGTTACACGTCCAACGTGTACAAGCCCTTCAACCTGACGATTTTCCAGCGAGAGTGCGGTTTTGTGAGTGGTTGTTGCATCAACATGACAATAATCCGGACTTTTTGAAGTGCATATTGGTGACAGACGAATCTACGTTAACGCGTAATGGGGTGAATAACTTTCGCAACACTCATGTTTGGTCAGTAGAAAATCCGCACGCTGTCCGTCGGGCACATTTTCAACAAACATTTTCGGTGAATGTTTGGGCTGGCATGGTGAACGGTATGCTCATTGGACCATTTATTTTCCCAAATCGATTGAACGGGATGCAATACCTAGACTTTTTACGCAACATTTTGCTTTCCTTGTTTGCCTGAGTCTGCTCGGTAGCGCATCAGCTGATTTCATTTTCTGTTGGAGCGGTATGATTTCGGGCAGAGACGTACTTAGCCCTTCTCGTCAACTGGAGAGTGAGTACTTTTTCCTTTATTTTTTTTACTTGGTCGCCCTCGTTTCACTACACATTACCTTTGTTATTTCAAGGGTAGATGTTTCTGAAAAGGAAAACCCCAATTTTGCGGACACCCTGTATATTCTGAGTGACAAAAAAAGGTAAATACCCACGTGTTTATCCGATTTTAATAATTTTTGGCATATAGGTTCATTGACCATTTTTTCATCTGTTGTTCATGGCAAGATAAATCGATATGAAAAAAATTCTTGAATTCTAATAAACATACGTAGGTTACCTTTTTTTGTCACTGAGTATAGATCAAATTTTGCAATAATATAAAAGTGAGAACGGTTGGGACGTGAGGATCATAGATATTTTTGGAATAAGGTTGTTCGTTATGAAAGTAGTCGTTATCTTTTGTGTATCTAAATTCCGAGTGTGTATTTACTTACCATTTATAGATTGATGAATTAACTGTCGATAGCTCTGTGATTACTGTTGACGTATCACGCCTCTTGTTAAGCTCTGGATAGCTGTAGAAGAAAAGAATAGTATTTAACTCAGTGCTTAGGCACTAAACATTTAACGAGGACTTTTGGTAAATAATACAAAATCCTATATAATTTGTCGGGAAATTTTCAACTACCGCGCTTAATGAAATAGATACACTTTCCCGCATACTTTCACGCTATGAGGGTTTAGTATGTATAGACCTCGTTAGCCTCTGTGAAAACGTAGCTTAATTGATTTAGAAATTTTCTCTTGTTGGATTTAATCTCGACTTCAGTTAGTGCTGTTAGATTTTGTGAGGTGCAGTTCTGAAAATATTAATTAATTACCATTTTTTCCTAAAACCTCAACACCCCGAGTTTTTGTAAGGAAACATTTTTGGACCATAGTTTATAAAGCAAACTATAGTGGATACCAAATAAAATCCGATGCACGTCATAGGTGATGTCATTCATAAAAATCATGGTTACCAACAGTTGACTACATTCAATGTGACATTTCTACTTGAAGTTTAAATTTCCCCGTCTCGATTCGGTTGGTAGTGCCGTGCAGAGAAATGTGAGGTTGCCACTTCTCATTTGTTGACATCAGTTGCCATTGTCCTTTTGTCGTACTATTAGTTCTTTATTGTTTAGTTTGTGAGTTTTGCGCTATTTGAGCTTTGAATCGTTGCCTTGCCAATTAAAAGTTGTTCTTCTCAGAACAGAAGTTACTGTGAAGTGGTATAAAGTATCCAAAATGCCAAAACAACTTAACAGTCGGTGTAAAGAGCTCATATCAATTCTGGCAACAGCGCACAGCTCCAGATCGATGACGTGCATCGGGTTTTATTTGGTATCCACTATAACATTAATTTTTCATGTAGATTCATACCCTTAAATATTCGCTTATCCTTTATGAACACCCTGTATACAAAGGCTTAAAGGCCTCCTATAATATTTTTCATACAATGTTTTACGAAAGTTCTGCTGAATGATGTTGTATTTTTAATACTCAGTATTGCACTTAAAAAGTGCAATATTGTGTATATTCTTAGAAGTTTTATAGACGGAGGCCATTTTATAGCAAAACCTTAAACTCTCAGTTGATTTGAACGAATAGTTTTTAATTCAACATACCTAACATCTTTTTCGTCATCAGGTGTTTCTGCATTTTGTGCACAACATTGTAACCATGGAGTAGCCTCCCCACTGTAATGAAAAAATAAATAAATTTCATATTGGATGATACCAATGCTCATTTGTTATAAAGAGGAATATATATAACTTGTTATATAGGGTGATTCCGAAAACAGTTGCAATATTTCTGGGACATAAGGTGGATCAAAACATAACGGTCCGATATCTACTTAGCGTACAAAAGAAAAACGTAAATTTTGGAAAAGTGGAGATTTATGTCTTAATATACGAGGTTTGTTCAAAAAGTATCGCGAATTTCATGTTGCTTCAAGAATTATTTATTTTTTCATGAATGTCTATTTTGTCTCCTTCAAATAGGTCTTCATCAGACATTATACACTTGTGATAACGTTTTTTTCCAATGGAAGCATTGTGAAAAATCATTTTTGTGATCTTGATCAGCTCCTCCTTCGATGCAGTCTTTATCTCCTCAATCGTGGCGTAGCGTCGTCATGGGCCCCTTCAGTTTCGGGAACAAGAAAAAGTAACAGGATTTCAGGTCTGGGGAGTACGGTGGGTGAGGCATCATTGGAGTCTTATTTTTGGCAAAAAATTCGCGCACAAGTAACGATGCATGAGCGGGGATGTTACGTTATCATGGTGCAAAAGAAAATTTTTGTTCTTCCACAAATCCGGGCGTTTCTGGCGGATTGCTTCTCGCAAATTGCGCATTACTTGAAGGTGATATTCCTTATTGACTGTTCTACCCTGCGGCAAGAACTCATCAATGTTTTCGTCTGTTGTTGACGTGCTCAGGCGACCGGAAAGCTTTTCGTCGCTCACATCTTCTCGGCCTTGTGAGAACACTTTGTACCACCGATACACGTTGTTTTTGTCCAAAGTAGCTTCGCCGTATGCACCAGTCAACATTTGGAATATGTCCGCGCCCTGCAAGTTGTTTTTTACACAAAATTTAATACAAATTCTTTGATCCATTTTTTTGGAATTTACAAAAATCGGAGACTAGCTAAGACACGTCCACGCACAATAGCTGTCAATAACTGACTGAACACTCAAAATGGCCGATCACTGGACAATAAATTTTAGTTTTTTAATTGTATCTTGTGGGAAAAGTGCACTTCTTTGTTAATTTTGGGGCGCTGAATCCAAAAATGACAATGAAATAAAAAAAATTAATTCCGGTTTAGAAAAAAAACTTTTTATTTTTAAGGATATATTAAAAAAAGTAACAAGATTCATATACTTATAAGCATCACTATATGCGCTGTCTTTTTGCTGTTCTTTTATGGATCGTTTCTGGAGCATCTCTACCAAGAGTTCAACAGTAGTCTTCAAGCATGGAAGGATTCCACTTTCCCTGGTACCTTTTTTCCATTGTTGAAATATCCTGATGAAAAAGTTTTCCGTGCTCATCACTTACGGCTCCGCAATTGTCAGGAAAAAAGTCCAGGTGTGAGTGTAGGAAATGTATCTTAAGAGACATATTACAGCTAATATTTTGATACTATGACAGCATATTTTTGACAAGGGTTTTATAGTTGTCAGCTTTTCTATTTCCCAAGAAATTAGTGACCACCAGACGAAAATCATTCCATGTAGTTTTTTCAATACCTGTTAAAGTGTTTTCAAACTGTGTATCTTTCAAAATATTTCGAATCTGTGGCCCAACAAAAATACCTTCTTTAACCTTTGCCTCACTTAGTCTTGGAAATTTCTGACGCAGGTATTGAAAAGCTGACCCATCTCTATCTAATGCCTTGACAAAGTTTTTCATTAGGCCCAACTTGATATGCAGTGGTGGTAATAAATTTTTTTCGAATCTACTAATGGCATATGCTGTACATTTTTTTGACCTGGCTCTAGGAATTGACGAACAGGCCAGTTTTGTCTGGTGTAATGAAGTGCCTTTGCACGACTGTCCCATTCACACAAAAAACAGCAAAACTTTGTGTAGCCTAGCTGCAGCCCAAGTAAAAGTGCAACAACTTTCAAATCGCCACAAATATGCCATTGGTGATCATCGTATTTTATGCATGTCAATAGGTACTTCATATTGTCATATGATTCTTTCATGTGAACTGCATACCCTACAGGAAGAGATGGTAATATATTTCCAATATGCAATAACACTGCCTGTAAACTCAATGTTGAACTGTCTATAAACAATCTCCATTCTTCTGGGTTATAGTTTATATTTAAAGCCGCCAGTAAGCCGTTGATGTTACTGCAGAAAACCAAGTTATTCTCCATATTGAAAAATGGTTCAAGTCTTTGTGGCGTTTACGAAAAACACATACCGAAACATCGTCTTCTAACAAGTTCCACTGCTGCAGCCTTGATCCAAGTAACTCTGCCTTACATGTTGGAAGTTCTAAATCTCTTACAAGATCATTTAATTCTGACTGTGTTATTTTGTGCGGTTGGTGGCATGACGTGCTCGGTATAAAATCAGGATCTCTTGACGTTGATGGCATATCGTCTTCCTGACGAATCACTCGATCGCCATGATCTGATTCGTTTTCTGATTCGCAAGTGTAGGATTCTGGGGGTTTTGGAATAGGATTTTCGGCACCGTGGTACAAGGTACCATGCAAAAGTAACAATCATTAATATGATTTGTAGGCTCTCTCCAAACCATTGGGACAGCAAAGCGCATAGACCGTTTTTTGCCATTTAACACGCTCCTCAGACTTGAAGCACATGTATTACAGCAGATGTGGGGTGCCCACTGTTTGTCTTGATCACCTAGTTTACAACCGAAATAAAGCTGATATGCCTTTGTTATTAGTGGAGTAATAGACCGTCTCTGAGACGCAAAAGTCACCACCACACACGTAACAAAACTGATCTGGATTGTTTACACACTTTCGATACATCTTGCATGAACGCTGTCAGCCAACTGAGAAAAAAATGGCTAATATAAAACAATATAATGTACACGTATGTATAACGTAACACAATCATGCCGATTACATCATCTTTCCCTGCCGAATACAAAAATGTAGCACGTGCATTCTTGTGAATTACAGTATATTAACACTGTCACAGCAGGAACACATATAATTACAGTATCTCTAAAACTTGAACTAATACTGAAAAAATCAGTTTCATTCCGGTTTTAGCACATTAAAAATAGTAATATTTTGTTGATTTTATTTAGGATATTTTTTGGCTGTTGATCAGTGTAATGTTAACATGTGAGGGACATGAGTACCAACATAACGCCACAAAAAGAGATCGAAAATCGAACATACGTAGCCTGCGGAAATTCAAAATTCGCAATACTTTTTGAAGAAACCTCGTAGTCTCCTTTTAGCTCGACACATTTGACCCAGCGATGCTCCAACTGCTTTGATCCGTCTGGAAAATACGTTATCTGCAGGTCCGTGGCGGCGCTAATCTACTCATTCGACTCAAATTTCCGCCCAGCGAGTGACTTTTTCAAGTTTGAAAACAAAAAGAAGCCGCACGGGTCCAAATCTGCAGTATACAGTGGATGGGCCAGCAGTTCGTAGTCTAAGGGCCAGTATTATAATGTCTAGTTGACCGGAGGTTGAATGTCAAACTCGACTCAAACCGCACTTTACGTATTATAAACGATAACCGAAGGTTGAACCGCGGGTTGAGCGCTCGTTCAGTCAACTCGAACCTATCCTCAGGTTGAACTGTCAACCGAAGGTTTAAAGCGGCATTCTAACCTCAAATAACGAAATTGTGATTAGTGTGTTTATGTTTATGAAGTTACAAAATTATTTGTCAAAAAATGGCATCTCCATCATCATCACCAGAAACTGAATTAAATTTGCATAGCAGACTAGTTTGGGCAGATAGTAGTAACGAATCGTCGGATTCTGATGAGAGTGAAGAACCTAGAACCAGGGCACCTCGCAATTTTAGAGCAAGAATGGATCATTTCACCCGTTGGAGCGACGAGGAATTTCGAATCAGATTTAGATTAAGCAAGGATACGGTCGTAATGCTAGAGCAGAGATTTCGGAATGAGATAGCACCGAAAACTAACCGGTAATTATACAAAATGTAAATTGCATGAAATGACGAGTATGTTTTAAATTTGTTGTTTTTAGGAACTGTGCGATAACATCAATGCAACAAATACTTCTTGCCTTGAGATTTTGTGCTACTGGATGCATGTTACAAACAATTGGTGACTTTGCAGGTATACATAAGTCCACAGCAGGTCAGATTGTAAAGAAAATAGTTAAAATGATTGCAACATTGGCTCCAGAATTTATATATATGCCAAGGACCCAACAAGAAATAGAAGAAACTAAACATAAGTTCTATTCAATTGCTCGATTTCCTCGAGTTGTAGGAGCTATTGATTGCACTCATATAAAAATAATTTCACCAGGTGATTATTTTTGCACTAGGTTTGTAATAATAAGTAACTCTCGTATTTTTGTAGGAGGGGAAAATGCTGAATATTTTAGAAATAGAAAAGGCTATTTTTCTCTTAATGTGCAAGTAGTAGGTGACTCAGAGCTAAAAATTAGGGATATTGTTGCACGATGGCCAGGCTCAAGCCACGATCAAACAATATTTGCTAACAGCAGATTACAAGGTCGACTTGAACAAAATGAATTTGGAAATGCCATTCTGCTTGGAGATTCAGGTTATGGTTTAAAAAAATACTTAATTACTCCAATTGCAAATCCCAGAACAAACAGTGAACAACTTTTTAATGAGGCACAAATTAGAAGTCGGAACCCAATTGAGCGATTATTTGGAGTATTAAAAAGAAGGTTTCCTATTTTATCACTTGGAATAAGGGTCTCACTTGGCACTGCAAGGAACATTATTGTCGCTTGTGCCATATTACATAACCTGGCCATCGATATGAAAGAGCCAGATCCAATAGTAGATCCTAATACTCTAATTGGCAATGAACCCATACATGAAAATGTTCCAGTTGGAGATGGAAATCATAACTTTCGAGAAGAATTTATTTTATATTTTTCAAATTTGTTAGAGCAGGCACAATAAAAATTATATTATTGTTTTATTATTTATACTTTTTGTTCTATATGTAT